ATTACTAATCTAAGAATTTGTCGTTACCCTGCAAGTAATTTAGTAGAAATGAATAAATGATCTGCCCTCCGTATTATCCTACGCACTTTCAAAATTGGTTGCATTTACGTAATATAGTAAATGCAACCTGCAGTAATGTACCAATATTTTATAATATAAACTTACTCACTTACATACTTATGGAGCTGAGACCTTCTTGAGGAGAAGCCAAATCTGCAGCTACTGAAGAATTTCCCAGCATGGAACACGAAGGTTCATTACCGTGTTCACAAGAGCCCTCTACTGGTCTCTATCCTGAGCCACATCAATCCAATCCATACCATCCCATCCTATCTACCTAAGATCCATTTTAATATTGTCCACCCACCTACGCCTTGGTCTTCCCAGTGGTCTCTTTCCTTCTGGCTTTCCCACACCAATATCCTATATGCATTCTTCGTCTCCCACATTCGTGCTACATGCCCTGCCCACCTCATCCTCCTTGACTTGATCATTCTAATTATACTTAGAGAAGCGTACAAGTTATGAAGCTCCTCATTATGCAGTTTTCGCCAACCTCCTGTCACTTCATCCTTCTTCGGTCCAAATATTCTCCCTGTTCTCAAAAACGCGCAGTCTATGTTCCTTCGTTAATGCCAGAGACCAAGTTTCACACCCATACAGAACCACAGGCAAAATTATAGTTCTGTATATTCTAATTTTTATGTTTTTGGACAGTAGACGAGAAGACAAAATGTTCTGAACTGAATGGTAGCAAGCATTAGCCGAGTTCAATCGCCTCTTAATTTCCTCCCGAATCTTTATAATATAAACATTTTAACGAAATGTATTCACAGAGATCACGGCGGACGCATTTCTTCAAGGTGACAGACACATGGCCCGACAAAAATATTATGATACTACTTTGTATATACTTTCGTTAACGTCATAAAACTGAAATTTTCGGATTTTAACTGATGCTGTTGCAGCTCCTTAACTTGCTTAGCTTTCAGATCGCTCCAACTTCAAAATTTACATGCTCATTTAAAATATTATGCTGTTTGTCATTAATTAAAACGTATTAATCTAAGACTGAATTACTAAGTCGTACTACTGAATATTTTTTACCATAATTCTGTTGTACAACGCGTACAGCGACGTATATAGCGAGTGTCACGTAACTTCGAACAAGGCCAAGAGTAACCTTGAATGCGCAGAAGAAAAATTTCAGACAAGGGGGTGGGTTCGAGGGTGTGAGAAGTGACAAGCGGCCAGTGGAAGAACGAGTGTTAAGAAACTCCTCCCACACAAGCTATGCGCGTGATTTCACTTGTTCGGAGTTACGTGACACTGTCTATAGCAAAGACGTTACCATGTATTAGAAGTCATCGACTTCGCTAAGTGGTCCTGTATAGATAAGCCAGTTCTCACTCTGGAGTAAATTGAAGCATTCACATTTCCACTGAAAGCAATGAAAGTTACTGGACTAAAGTAAAAGAGCATTAACTCCTTGTGCAAGACGGTTAAAGTCCGTTTGCACATTAGCAACTTATTTTAATTTTTCATATTTCTAAGTAACTTCTTCGCGAATAAAATAATTAAAATGTAATAATAATAATAATATAAATATAAGTTATGTAGGACCCTAAACTTCACCACAAATAAACTTATACGAGTATTCTTCATAGTCTGTCAGATATCCTGCAAGACAAGAAACAAGGTTCGATATATCGCTAAGAAACAGCTTCTACTAAAGTAGAGGTGTGATTCAGGAGGAAATTAAGAGGAAATTGAATTCTGGTAACGCTTACTACCATTCAGTCGGGAACCTTTCGTCTTTTCGTCTTCTGTCTTAAAACGCAATAATTAGAATATAAAAAGTAAAGGATCCCTTTAACAGGTTGTGGAGGCCCATAGGGTTGTGAGATGTTGAGGTTCCCACATTTTCTAGACAATAGGCTCATAGATGGCGGCAAGGTTGTCAGCCCTACGCGCCGGCCGCCCTTTATCCCCAAGAACATTCCAAGAATATTCCTCGTACTCATTTCTGTTAGAGGCTGAGTCGACTCCAGGGCCATAGTGCGGCTGGAAGGATTAGGTAAAGTGAAAAAATCCAGTGACTTCATCAAGATTCGATCCCACCACCTTCCGGCTTGTAACATAGTGCCTCAACCAACTATGCTACCGCGTGCCTCATAATATACAAAACTAGACGTAATTTTGCCTATGGTTCTATATGGGTGTGAAACTTGGTCTGTGACATTAAGGGAGGAACATAGACCGAAAGTGTATGAAAACAGGATGCTGAGGAGAATATTTTGACCGAAGAGAGATGAAGTGACAGGAGGTTGGAGAAAACTGCATAATGAGGAGCTTCATAACTTGTACTCTTCGCCAAATATAGTTAGAATGATCAAGTTAAGGAGGATGAGATGGGCAGGGCATGAAGCACGAATGAGTGAGAAGTGGAATGCATGTAGGATATTGGTGGGAAAGCCAGAAGGAAAGAGACCAGTAGGAAGATCAAGGCGTATGTGGGTGAATAATATTAAAATGGATCTTAAAGGGATAGGATGGGGTGGAATGGGCTAGATTGATCTGTCTCAGGATAGGGACCAGTGGAGAAGGCTCTTATGAACACGGTAATGAACAATAAGCTCTAAAGGTTTGTGACTATGGTACATTAATACAAATATTATATTTCTTGGCATTATCCATCGTCCTGTTTTTTATTTGAAAACATAATATTTGTACAGTAATGAAACTTGGGGTTCCACAAAATGTTGAAAAGTTCTTGAATAGCTATACAACTGGCGGCTTCTCAAAAAAGGGCTCAGCTCCGTGAAGTCAATTTTAGTTTCGTAATACTGTATACATTGTAAATTAACTTCTTTTTCTTTTTAAATAGATTTAGTAACTTTGTTTACGAAGTAACAGACGCTTTGCACATTTTTTCCCCTCTAATATTAAGAGCTCTGTAACTGACCGACTTTGAGAATTCTTTGCTGTTCTCCCATAAAATGTCCATCTTGTTGCCCTTTGATTCTCTTACAGTTTACAATCCCAGAAGATATGTTCCTCCGTTTGCAGCCCGTCACCACATTCGCATTGACACTGCAATTTTTTTTATTAAAAAATGTATATACAAAAGTGGCCTATGCAAAATTCATCCGGCCCTCTTTAGCCACACATACCCACTGCCATCTAGTGAGATAAGTATTAACTCAGTATGTTAGAAGTTTCAACCGATGTACGACTACCAGAAGAGCCGGAAGTATGTTGAAAATGGAACCTAGCAACATTTTAATGATAGCTAAAATATTGTCGCATGTCGTGAATCCGGAAGGGATACTTCCGTGGAAAGGCTATAAGAGTAGGACGTTACATGAAAATAACGCAAACAACAAACGCATTTCCCCCGAGATGAAAGGATAAGAGAGTGTTCGTTGCGTAACAGCGGATGAAACCAAACACTCCCACAAAGTGTTCTGTATTGAGTAAGGCTAGCATTAGCCGTAGTCTAGGGGTAACGTTCCCACCTCATGACTCAAGGTACGCGGGTTCAAACCCGGCGGAGGTCGTGGAATTTTTAAGGGCGGAAAAATTCAGGGAACAAGTCCTCCGGGAGGGACTTTCAGCCGTGGGTGCCGTGTCGTAGATTTACGGCACGTAAAAGGTCCTCATGTCTCTTGGAGACCTCTGAGCAAAATTAGGTAAAAAAAAAGTTTCCCGCCCAAGTAGTTTCCAATGCCTCCGGTAGATGGGAAAGCATCGGGTACCACAGCCAGCCTCGCTGGCTGAACGGGGCTGATAGCGAGAACCAGTACCGGCAGGGCATGGAGACTGGTAGAATATCAAAGGGGGACATACAATAGACTATTAGTCGCGGTGCATGGGGAAACCCGCCCCCTCCAATAATAATAATAATAATAATAATAATAATAATAATAATACTAGCATTTCCTAAGCAACGGATTGTTGAAACAGCAGGAATAATGAATTTCCGCTGTAAGAAGCATAGAACACGTGAAATCGAACCATGGGAGAAGGTTCTCTCTATTCCATCCGAAACCAGGCTATAAAAGTCCAGCTTCGTGGGACTCAAGGGGCCTGATGCCAAGACGAACTGATTGGCGGTAAACCGCCAGTCGTAAAGTAACTCTGACTTTGACTCTGACTCAAGGGTCCTGATGCCAATATGAACTGATTGGCGGTAAGCTACCAGTCTGACTCTGGCTCAGATCAGACAGTTAAAATGACACTCAGACTCAGACCAGACAGTTAACCCGTGTGGAGGCGGGGTCGAATACCTCCACCGTGACCCCGCGAGTCGTAGGAGGCGACAAAAAGGGAAGTCTCAAATCTGAGCCAGTAAAATATGGTCATGAGTCCCAAGGTACTCGGAACCGAGAAAGACTGTGCTGGCAAGGACCAGCAGCATATACAAAAGACAGACCCGTCCTCTTGCCAGAGAGGGCGCCCCACAAAAACAAGACCGTAACTGTCAAAGAGTAAAAATATCTGGTCATGAGCCCCAGACGCGGCTCGACACCAAGACTTACTGACTGACTGACCGTCAGTCTCAATGTGACTTTGACTTTGACTTTGACCAGATAGTTAGTTGACAGTTGACAGTGGAGAGTTGAAGTCTAGCAGCCGCCGAGAAAGTTTGCAGTACAGCTGCGAAGTAAGACTACACCGAGATTAACTGTGATCTGAACGTAATCACAATTGTACTTGAGTGTGTTAAAGCGAGAGTCCGGTAAATATTCTCTAAATCGGAGACCTGCGTGAAGTTATTTGTCGCGTTACCTAGGAGACGCGTGACAACTCATTTCTCAGAAGTAGGTTACCAGGGAAACACGCAACAATGTTACATAGGTAACACGCGACAATATTAAACGATCTTAAAGATCTTCAGTCACCAATTGCTAATGACGCAACCTGGTTCGTACCTTAGCACAACTTCGTGCTTGCAAACAGAAAATGTATTTTCTGGATACTTAACACACTAATGACAGCCAATTTAAAATAAATGACAAAGAGGCCTACACATTGAAGCTCCGCCCAGTGTTTTCTTCGCTACTTGAAACCACGTTCAAATCAACTTCCGGCTGGTGTCATTCGATAGCTTCGATTGCTTCGATACTTCGATAGTGTTGTGCCGGTTGTGCCTTCAGGTGTTCGAAGAAGCACCGTAAGAATGGTAAGAATATTGTTGGGATTGTTGGTGTAGTACTTGATTTATGCGGTTTATACGTTGGTGATTTACGGTCAGATTGTGTGGATTTTGTAGGTCTTGCAGTGTATTGTAAACGCCGCACGCAGCTCCATACAGGTTAGAAGCATAAGTGGGTTGTGATTACCGAGGCCAGCAATAAGAAATTGGCTTGTATTAATCGAAGTGTTTTTTTACAACATAATCAAGTCATTAAAATGGCAAATATACTTTCAGCATCCTGTCTACAGCGTACATTGCAGGTACCTAATATTCAGTAGTACTTTATGCTATTCCGTAACCCAAATGTTGATGAATTGAATGTGTGGTGTAATGCATTCCAAATATCCGAAAGGACTAAGTACAGTTGCATCGTTTTAGATTGGAAACGAATGAGTTACTTTGTGTTTTTGTTCCATATGTATTTGGAAAGCCTAATTATTCAATTTAGAATATGTTAATATAATCCAGCAACTGACACTGTTAAAATTAGGGAAATCGCCTTGTGTAATGTAAACGAGGGAGCAGGTGCAGTTTCATGATTAGCTGGAAGGAGCCAGATTTCTAGATTGCATTTCAGTGAATCATTTTATAAATTGGCGACATTGTTGAACACTACATGGATTTTCCCACTCGTGTTATTTTCATTGATTGTCAGATGCTATATGCTGAAACCAGATGTCATGTCTGCATGTAACATCATACTGAGTGAAATAAAAATGGACTGTTTATGTTAAACTATCTACTGCACCAAGAAGTGATGCCAACACAACCCAGTGCAGTTTTATGCTCAGAAGTGCTGGGATTTCTTGGTATTGCTAAGTGGTTAGGTAAGGTTAGGTTGTGTTATCTTAACTGAATTAAATGTAGGCTTGCAACATACATAATTGAGATTTCATTAGTTAGTATTACTTGTGTAAAGTCTTTCCTCATAGTTATTCTCTTACAAGTATATTGATATTAGAAACTTAAATTCAGTCATCAGTTTGCCAGTTTGCAAATGTAATCTGTGTGTCATTGTTTCCACAAGTGCATTTTGTTTTACCGTTGTATAAGAGAGTTGCTTTTATGGCATCTCATAAGTACAGCTTATGATTAACTACTGTGTGTTAGGTTATATAACTTTTGTCTTCAATATTAGTCATCCTACATCACTGTTTATTGCTTCATTGTTTAGATCTTGTAGAGAAACTAGCCAGAAAAATAACTTAACAGTGGTGCTTGTGATTGCACACATGGCGGAAAGAACCAGATGCATGTGTAATGTTCCTAAGATTTTGCAAAAATTGTTTCATTTCATGAACAGTTTTAGCATGTGTTGTGACTGAATCTACTTCAAAGGCAATTAAAGAGAGATCAATTAAGATGGGCGGTAGGATTACTTACTGGACATTGCCATCTCAAAGGACACCTTTTCAAACTGGGATTGATAGATGACCCAACCTGTGAAAGGTGCCTACAAGAAGAAGAATCAGCCACACACATCCTGTGTGATTGTGAAGCTGTAACTTACTTAAGGTTTCATCACCTGGGTCAGTTCTTTATGGAACCAAGTGACTTTTATGACGCCCCCATAAATAAAGTCCTATATTTCATTCGAAGTGTAGGATTAATAAAGGGTTAATCCAAAGGGGAAGCAGAATAGATCATTGAAGGTCACAGTAGGAGGGCCTAATTCTATGGCCCACCCCTTATACACATACATACATACTTCAAAGGCATTTCAAAATGTATGTAAGTTGATGTTGCTGGACAATTGAGATACTACAAGTATATCAACATGACAAAATGAATATTATCACCCTCTGGGTGAATTATGGACACAATAAGAAACATGAATAATTCGAACTTTACATGTAAAGTTTGCAGTATACGTTCCATTGGGGCCATAAAATAAACGAGGTATATTGGATTCATCTGACACAGGACAGGGATTACAGTAAAGGACTCTTGTGAAAACAGTAATGAACCTTTGGAATTTCTTGACTGGCTGAACAACAGTTAGTTTCTCAAGCACTGTACTTTGTGAAGTTAGTTATAACAAGATGTTGTAAGAATTCTTGAATTTAGCTTCCTCTTGTGTGGTTTGCTCTGTTTAGGGAGAATAGTGTGTGTCAAGTATCATCATCATCAGTAATCTGTCAGACGACAGGTCCACAGTCTCTTCCAAAACAATTCCTCCACTTAATGTAATCTAGAGCCTTCTGCTTCAAATGACAGTATCCTCGTCTGTCCCCAAGGTCATCCAGCATCTTCTTACGTCTTCTTCCTCGTCTTCTTGTCACTTCTATCCGCCCCGCTATCTTTCCTTCAATAACTTCTTTTAGAAGGCAGTTTCTGCGTAAAACATGACCAATCCAATTAGCGTTTCGTTTTCTTATTTCATGTAGGATATTCCTCTGCTCACTGACTCTAATTAACACTTCTTCATTTCTCACATAATCGGTCCAACTGATCTTCTCCATCCTTCTTCAACACCACATTTCGAAACTTTCCAGATGTTTCTGATCTACTGCCCTAAGTGTCCATGTTTCAGCCCCATACAAAGCCATGCTCCAAATGTAGCATTTCACTAGTTTCTTCCTCAAATTCAAGCTCAATTTGCTGGTAAAAAGATTCTTCTTGTTGCTAAATGCAGCTTTGCCATGGCAATCCTGGATTTAATTTCATTAGTCATGTATATAATGATCTGTTTCACTGCATATTTCCTCCTGAGAGTATGCCAGTGATTAAGAGTACTTGTTGTATCATGTAGTTGTTTTATTTAGTGAGGTTACACTAATGTCTTATTTCCAGGTATGCAGTTCTACTTGTATGAAGAATAATGTGGTCACTCTGTCACTTGGTACACATACAAATTCAGTAACGAGTAACTGCAATGAGGCAAGACGCTCTGAAGAAGGGACACAGAATTCAGAAATGTCACCACCAGAGGAACCTACGACATGTTGCATGTCTGGGTGTGCTAATTGTGTATGGATCCAGTACGCAGAGGAAATGAGGAAGTTTTATGCAGATGGCGGAGAGAAGGCAAGAGAAATGATACTAAACAAAGTAACAGATCCCAATACAAAAGCCTTCCTCATGATGGAATTAAAAAATTTAACTGACAAATCATCATAGCATAGGTAATTCATGTAGAACTTCATAAATATTGTAAGAATTATTGTAAATACAGTATTTAAGAGTAGAAACTGTAATGTAATTATTAATACAAAAAGGTGTGAAAAATGAAACAGCATAAGACTGTTTTAGGTATGAAATGCTGTTACTTTATGTAGTCATCCTGCATACTCTTGGAGAGTTTTTAGTGGGTTCATTATGGACACTTTCAGTATTGATGTTATATAATGTCAAATGGTAAGGTGACTCATGAATTTGGAAGGATGCAAACCACGACCTAATGTAGGTACTGTCACAGATTTTGCCTGGAGGGACTGAAGAAGATCAAAAAAAACTTCAATCAGGATAGTTGGTGCCCTACCCAAGATTTGAACTGAGCATCTTCTGCATGCGAGTTTAAAGCATTACCCCTAGATCATCCTGTTTGTTGCTGGGGAAAGTACGGTTATCCAGAGAAGGATAGCCATGAGAAGAGTGTGTTGAAGCGGTCCTGTAGCTGAGTTTCGTTAATCTACCAGCAACTCCAGGTAATGGTATATTTATTTATTTAATGACACTATTTCAGACTATGTAGTATCAAATGGTAGAATGACTGGTAAATAATGAATTAGAAAAAATATGAGAAGCAGATACGATCTTGACATTTGCTTAAAAATACTGAGGAAGACTGTGAAACTCTCAGTCGTTATAGATGGTGTCCCAGCGAAGAATTTTTAATGAGATACCTACAGAATATAAGTCAGAAGCATTACTGCTTGAGTCAACTTGCTCTGTGATAACACTGGTGTACAGATAAAAAGGTATAGTTGTCCCTGTGCTTAACTAATTAAGCACTACACCATAAAGGTGTATATGGGAGTGGATGTATGGAGCCACATTTTCTTGACCTCAGAAATAGTTGGAGCTGAGTGGTCAGCTTGACGCCTTGGCTGCTTGACCCCTGGGAAAGAGCCCCAGTACCCATTGTATAGGAGGTTGGGTGGACCCCAGAGCCAGTCTGGATGACATGAAGGAGAGAAAATTCTTGACCCTATGGGATTCAAACCCCGCCCCTCAGTCATCCAGCCCATAGCCAGGCGCTATACCAACTGAGCTATCCTGGCTCCCATGGTGTACAGATAGTGCATTTTTTTTCCTACCAAGGAGGATGATGTACTCATATTTTTTTTAATTCGCTTAGTGGGGTGGAGTCCGACTGGGTCCACTTGCCACGGTGGCCACTGATTGGCCTTTTGTACCTGCCTGAGGTGATTATGATGATGGAGAATTTTGGTGGAATGAAGATTGGCAGGGGAAACCGAAGTACTCAGAGAAAACCTGCCCCAGTGCCACTTTGTCCACCACAAATCCCACTTGACGAGACCCTGGATCGAACCTGGGCCGCTGTGGTGGGAAGACAGCGACTAACCGCTTGAGCAGTGGCACGGCCATGTACTCATAATCCTCCGAGCGTGGATCTTGGTTGATTTGCTGAGATAATACTTTCAAATCGGCTATAATTGTCTTTGATGTCATTTCTGACTCACCATTCATGGTCTTCTGATGCTATCCTTTTTTTATTCTTATGGCAGGTGACATTGATTCCCTTGGTATTTGGGCTGCAGGCATGCTAGTTGTACTAGTCCAGATGATGTGAACAGATGAGGGAGTGAAGTACGGGTGGAATGAGGACAGGAGGAAACACAAGTACTCGGAGAAAACCCTGCCTTCATGCCACTTTGTCCATCACATATGCCATATGAACTGCCCTGGGATTGAACTCAGTCCTTCATGATGGGAAGCTGGGGTCTAACCACCTGAGCCACCTGTTATGGCCCTGTTCATTGCTGTGACCAGAGTAATTGAAACATTACCTGTGGAATTCGAGTGTATCCATCTGAAAGTAATGCAGCTTATGGCCACTCTGTATATATGTATATGTAGTGTTTGTAATTTAATTCCTTAACATTTCTATTACTTAGATATGAGTTTATATTACAGTTGGTCTGTATTATGTTATAATTATGTAGTTATTAAGGTACAGAACTGATTCTCGTTATTAAAAACACATCTACAAAAGGAAATATTTGCAGCAATATTTATTTTTATTTTAACATGGCAGTTAATCTTATGTTTGGCACAAATGTCTCAATTGGAGTTGCAGCCTGTAGCTTACATTTAGTCGATGTGTGCAGTATTTGCGCGTAACACAAGTATCAGACTAAGCTCAGGTCATGTATGTGACATGACTGAATGAAAGCGACTTAGATGTGCACTATGTATGAGAAGTATACTAAAAAAGAAAAACTCCCTGGCCTGTAGTCTGCAAACGAACTATACCGACCGAGCGACTGTACTTGTCGGCGAAGTTAGTGCCAACTTTCGCAGATAGATGGTGTCATGTGGTCAGCGCAATGGATTCCCACAACCGTTAATCTCGTTTTTTTTGGACTGGAGCTGCTATTTCCTTGAAATAGCTCCCTGGTTATCCTCACGAGGCTGAGTGGATCCCGTTCCAGACCCACTATTTCTCAGAAAATCTGGCAGCGCCGGGAATCGAACCCAGGACCTCTTGATCTGTAGCCAGGAATTCTGACCACTAGACCACAGAGGCAGTCATGAGAGAAGTATGTCATGAATTATTATTTTTTCATGTGTTAGTGTCTGACGGGAGTGATAATAGTACATTGAACATCAATTTTACAACATGGCACATTGTGGTACAGTTTGTGTTTGATACAAAATACAATGAATGCATAAGGTATATGTGGGTTTCTTATATAGAGCTTTTGTTCAACAAGGATTTCATAATTGGTACTAACTTTATACATTGAAAGTGTATTTCTTGTTGTTATCCATCTACACATCATCATAAAGCTTTTGTTGTTTGTTGTGATAAAGTGCAGATGGGCAGTTGCACAAAATAAAATTTATAGGACACACCACAGAAATGCATTCAATTCAGATCTGTCCCAATTGGTACCTTGTATTGACTTAAGGCTTCAAAATGCAAGCTTTATTATATTAACACAAGTTCAGTGCTTTGTAATACATAAAATTAGATCTTACATAACAGTATTTAAGAACATTTTTATAAGATGACTATCCTTTGTGGCTTTATAATAATCATTGGTATCAACAATTCATTATTATTTATAAATTTGTGAAATTCTTTTGGCTAATCTTTCAACAGCAAGAGTTTAATTACCGGGCTGTGTACTGTGCATTGCTGAGTTAGTTTTTATGTTAATGCTACTGAGATGAGAGAAACTCCCTTAAGATTGTTCACTGTTTTTGTAGCTTCAGCATATAGGATGAACTACAAAATGCTGTATCATATTTCCCTGAATAAAAGCACCAATTTCTTCGCAGTCTTTCAAATTCAAGGTGTGGCTTAAAAGCAGCTCTTAAAGAAAAGTCCCTGGGTGTCTAGATATGATATCGGTACACAGTTCTGTGTTATGGCCAAGAGATGATGCTAAGTTTTTGATTTAATGATACAGTGATGCAAACTCAATTCAAGCCAGTGATACCAATTAGTGGAGTTCTAGTGGAAATGCATCACACCTAATTGATTAGAATCGCTTCTCAACTTAAAAAATTAAATTGTACTTCAAGTAATATAACTACATTGTGGCCGAGCCATAGCTCAAGCGGTTAGTCACTGGCTTCCCACCGCGGCGGCCCAGGTTCGATCCTGGGTCTGGTCAAGTGGGATTTGTGGTGGACAAAGTGGCAGTGGGGTGGGTTTTCTCCAAGTACTTTGGTTTCCCCCGCATTCCACCAAATTCTCCATCATCATAATCACCAGGGGCAGGCTACAATAGGCCAATCAGTGGCCGCTATGCCGAGTGGACCCAGTTGGACTCCACCCCCCCCACTAAGCGAAACGTAACCACATGGAGCAATGTGAACTTGTTGAGTGTTGTACATTATGTTATGCATAAAATATTTTTTATTTCAATATTATAAAGTTTTGGCGTGCAGCTTCTATCTGGTCAAATATATGAACACACAATAATGCTGCCTGAAATGTAAAATGTACCATGAACAAAGTAATATAAATGCTACAGTATTCTGCAGATTGGTACCTCCCCCAATGTAGTAACTGAATATAAAAATGTACATAATTCTTTTGGCATCGGTAGGCCTGTGCATGTTTGTAGGTATGCACTGATTAGGACCCATAGTCCAGTGCTATTCTGGGAGTGTCAGAACTCGGGCCCCTTCACATGGTTCTGTTATATAGAATGTTGGCTTCCCCTTGTACTTCTTCTTCATGTTTTCAATTACTTTATCTGCTATGGTTTTAGGAGCCTGTGTGGGATCAGATAAGATACACATTAATTCAATACAAAAAACTCATTAAATGTCCACTACTAGTGAAGGGTTAGTTAGTTAGTTATTTAGAGAGGATGGGTTTCCCCATGCACTTAGACCTGTAATGGTCCATTGTGCTTCCGTCTATGATTTCTACCAGTCTCTATATCCTACCGATATTGGTACTTACCATCAGTCCCGCCCAGCCAGCGAGACCGGCTCTGTTGGCTGAGAGGTATCTATAATGCTTCCCCCATCTACCAGAGGTATTAGAGACTGCTATTGGGCGGGAAACATCCGCAGTTTTGGCTCAGTGACCTCCTTTGGAGATATGAGGTTCTTTTACGTGCTGTAAAGCTACGACACGGGACCCACGGCTTAAAGTCCCTCCCGGAGGACTTGTTCCCTGAATTTTTCCGCCCTTAAAAATTCGATGACCTTAGTGAAGGGTTAATTAAGCTTGTAACTGCTCATATATATTCAGCCTAGTTATCAGAGTAAGAAAGGTGAGCAGTGCAGTGTGTTCAGTAGGGCCACATCATCTATTATGATGCTTACCAGAGTAACTGTGCAACCTCCAAAGCCACCTCCGGTCATACGTGAACCCAGTACACCATCAACTTCCAAGGCTGCAGCCACCAGTTCATCCAGCTCTGTACAGGATACTTCATAGTCTGTCCTAGTCACAATTGATAATTTTTAAGCTAGACTTGTAGTTCTTGTGATGGTGAGTATGAAGATGACTGTCATATAGGATACAGCAGCGTGTAATCTGGTAGAAAGTTACCCACATTTTGGTTGGATGTACTGCCTGCATCTTATTCTCCCTGAATATGGTTTCTCCAAAACATCAGGAACTTTATACTGTGAAGAAAGCAGTCTTCTGGGATTTGGCACCGTGTATATGTGGTGTTAACTGACGTTTCGGAGGAACGTATCGCCTCCATCTCCAGGGTAGATGGAAAAATATAAGAAATCCGCAAGCGAATAGACCGCGAGAACCGGTAAAAGCAGATGGAGGCAATACGTTCCTCCAAAATGTCGGTTAACACCACATATACACGGTGAAAAATCCCAGAAGACTGCTTTCTTCATAGTCACTGCCATGAAAGCCTCAAATCTTACAACTTTATACTGGTTTACACAACACATTCTAAAAGATGCTAATCTTAATGACTTAATTTTGTGGTATTATTCTAGTTAAATACAGAGGGCTATCAATGTAAGGGCTCTTTTATCATTCAGTGTTTGGAATCCAAATTTCACTACAATATTCTGGTAAGTAGTGTTACAGTGATCATAGGATTTATATATTTATTGTTTTCATTTATGTAAATGCTGTACAAGGTGTGGCAATAAAGAACCCGGATTACTTTTATGACTCATTTCCGGCCACGTCATTGACGAAGAGGAGGGTAGGGCATTGACCCTTGGACTTCCCTCTACCGTCACACAAAGTTTCATTCACGTGCATCGGTTAGTCTGGCCGCGACCATTGTTAGAAGCGGATCGTGTTTCTGAGCTCCGTCGGAATAATGCTGAGTGCTAATGCAGAACAACGTGCTAACATCAAATTCCTCACAAAACTTGGAAAATCTGCCACTGAAACTTACAATTTGTTGACAGAAGTATATGGTGATCAGTGTCTATCTCGCACGCAAGTTTTCGAGTGGTTTAAGAAGTTTATGGAGGGTAGGAAAAACGTCGGGAA